TTTGAATCTCATCCTTTTTCATATGTGTTTCAGAGTTCATAACAAAGGTTACTGGGCTACAGTTTTAATTTACAGCATTTTAAAAAAAGGTTTAGTAAGAAAAGCTTTCACTGTAGTGAATGACAATGACCAAAAATTGTGCCACATAACACATGAGGGAAAATCTCATTTTTCACAGAGGGTGCAGATCTGAATTAGATCTAAAATGAGTGAATGTGTGCAGTTTGCATGCAACAGACAACTTAATTCCCATCTAAAGAAGGGTGGGAGAAATATCCTGTTTTTTAAGCACAGGGAATACTTTAAATTAGCAGCTGTTTTAGAAGGTATTCCATCTACTTGGAATATTCACATTTGCCATGAATGAGTGAGCATTTTTGACGCCTGCATTCCCTGTCTGGTGAACTGAAACTTGCTGGCAGCCATCCCAGAACCTTTCAAGGAAGAGTATATGGACGTTTGCAGTAATTTATTGGCCACTGTTTGCAACCCCCTGAGAAATTACATTCCTGAGTTAAAATTTTAACTTCTTGCTAGACCATTGTAAGTAGTGACAATTCAGAACTATTGTTAAGGACATGGTGAAACTTGTCTGATGTTGGTAACCTGTTTGGCAATGGATAGCAAAAAACATTCCATAAAAAACTGTGGTCTCACCTCACTACTCTTCTTCCAGAGAGCAGTGTTCTGCCACCAAGTGTTTATTTATTTAACTTGTAAAGCCATCATTCCAGATAGATATTATTGCAAGAATGACCCACCTGATTATGCTCCTGTGATAGCCAAAGGCTTCTTGTGCACTATTTCCAAAAAAGAAAGTGAGCTCAGAGGCATGTGTAGTCTTAATTACCAGAATGTATCTATCTACGTGTCTTCCTGCTTACTAGGTTTATTTATGACAAAACAAAACAAAACAAACCCCATTCTTTTCTAAAGATGGCCACTTTTTCTAGGTACCATCTCCATGACATTTGGATTTACTTCTACGATGAGAAACTGTGAACTTGTTCTTTTCCCTTTCTTTCTTCATTTGTACACAAATCATTTCACAGGCAGTGGTCTTTTTTTTTTTAATTATAAAGACTGTTTCAATGGGAGGTAAAAAATCAGAGAGAACAACAGAAGACAAATGCAGACAACCACGTGGGAGACATTAAATAACTTTTGATGGTTGGAAGTGTTTACAACAGTACCTCTTGGAAGATCTTCTAATATTATTAAACAGATAAATTGATGCTTTCAAAAATTTACACTAGGATGAAGAGGCTTCCTTCAAACATGTTTTAACACTCCTTATGACTCTCTAAAAGAACAGAAGCCTCTTTAACAAGAAGTTCAACATAATAGCAGAGCATGGCTGTTTACTTTTCTACATCTACCTGTGTCCTGGACAAGAGCAGTATTAAATAATCCAATAGCCAGTGATCTATTTTTAGAGATGCTTAATATTTGTAATAATCAAATTACTATGACACTGAAGTCAGCAACATATTGTAGGAATGCAAAAGGAAAAATTTTAAAAGACGTACTTTGGTATGGCCTGCTTTTTTTCTTAAGAGTCTAGGATGAGCATAAGGCTGAATATTCACGCTTTCAGTTTCTAGAATGCAGCAATTGATAGCAAACCTTTTTGAGTATATTTACAACTGCAGAGGTTATTTGAAACATCTATCAAATTTTCATGTAGGTGTACACCGTAGTTAATAGCTTAAACATGGCCCCTCATTTAAAGATTGTGAAAATGTGAATGTGTGTCTTCCTCTTTTTTATTGACCTTTTCTGCCAGTCTGGGTTTCACTGCAGTTTCATACTCAGCCTTTACTGGAGTGGTTAACAGCAACCTCACTGAACATATATAGAATTAAATTTCAAACGTCATTTGGATATTAGTGAAACACATCTGATACCAATATCTCACTTCAATAGTGTAAATAGAAAGAAATGCACTTCACTCATTAGAATTGCATCAGTATTGCAGAGGTGTGAGATCAGATTTTGTAGAATGAATTGAGTTATCGTATATTTGGATTTAGTCCACAACTTTAAGGTACTTGCAAGAGGTATCCAGCGAGGGATCAGTTTGCATATGTATATATTGATGTCTAAAAGTACAGAGAGTCATAGAATCCTTAAGGCTGGAAAAGAACTTCAACATCATAAATTCATCTATAAATCCAGCACCTCCAATGTTGAAGATAACATTTGTTTTTTGTTTTGTTTTGTTTTGTTTTTTTTTCAGAGGGTGGTCCAGAGAGGTTGTGCAGCCTTCATTCTTGGAGGTATTCAAAACCTGACTTGACATGGTTATGAGCAACCTTTTTTTGATGACCCTGCCTCGAATACTGAGGTTGAACTAAACAAGTTCTTGAGGTGCCTTTACACTTCATCTATTCCCTGATTCTGTGAGATTTCATTTTATGCTAAAATGCTATCCTCTTATTTGCTTGACCTTGATTCTTAAATTTGTAGATTATTAAGTGCCAAATTAGAAAAATATACCATTTAAATATAATTTACTATATATCCCTGTAATCAGAATTACTATTCAGAAACACTGTCTCTTAAGCTCATTTTTGTGCTGTGATTTGGTATGGGCAGAAAGTTGGATAGGAGTGAAATTATTAGTGATTAATTCATACCATTTATATGGCATGTTCTGAAAATGCTGTGAGAGATAGGCAGAGATTACATCAAATTGTTCTTACCTGCCTCAGGGCTGTTCTAACTCTGGATAAAAAATAAAACCAGGGCTGAAAGCAGAAACAGATAGGTATCTGAAATAAATGATGATATAATCTATTGCTCTCTTTGCTGCAAGGTTATCCCAGTGCCTATCAACATTCCTCAGAGATCCACAGTGTCTGTGTTTAAAAGCCACCAAGAGTTTCTAACTGAAAGACTTGTTAAAACTATTCCCCACTCGGACATCATCCAGGAACAGGCCTTTAATCTTGTCAGAAGTTTATGTCTAAATAAAAATTCTTAACTAAAATTTTAAAGGATTTGATTGTGGTGAAGTACTTTTGTCCAGAGGGCTGCTAACAATCAGGGAATTTGGACTTTAGTTTGAAGACAAAAGGAAAACTGTTATAAAACTTTTCTTCCTTTTCCTGTAACCAAACCAACACCACCAAAAAAAAAAATTCCTATAAATCAAGTATATTAAAATAATAACTGGAAAATTAATTTGTTTACAAAGGTGGTCGGCTATGCAAGAAGCTGAACTACTTTTGTACTAAGTGGAAAAAATTTCATGCAGCTGAATTTTCCGAGCAGTACCAGATCAGACTGATACCTCTAGACTGCATAAATAAAACACCAAATGCCATTTTGTATTTATGTGGTCCTTTAAATATATGGGATACTAGGCCAATTATGATCTGAGAGTGAAATGAACACTGGAGAGCAGAACCAGTACAGGGTCCAGGTGTCTAATCAGTTTCTATTAAAATCAGAAGAGGCCCTTGATTTCTTTTTTATATGTATCTATTGGTGCCAAATCCAGCCTGGGAATAAGGGACAATACAGATCATGTTCCACAGACCCCCACAGAGATCAAACCACTCTCTGAAGTCATGCACTGGAGCTTAAGAGAAGTTTTTCACAAACATGGGCTGCTGTGGTTGCCTGAAATTTCTGACATGCCAAAAGGGAGTAAAGTAAAGGGGACCACTTTTTCCTGGATATCAGCTCAGGCTGTTATTGCAGATTCCTTTGAGGTACTGAGCCCAGGAACAGAGAAGGCCAATGTGTCTTGGAAACTGTACGCCTGTACTGTATCTACTAATAAGTTGTACATGCCTGAGGTCATCGTCCTCAAGGATAACAGCCATGGGAGAGCCCACATTTGTCTCTTACTCTCCAAGTCAAGGTGGCCACATGAATGGTAGGCGGCTTCTCCAGACCCTGGTTCATGCCCAGCAATGACCAGGCTGACAATTTAGCAATACGGCGATTGGATTTCAGGGTCTAAGAACACTCCTTAACACTGTTTTCCATAATACAGGTGCAGTCTATGCATCCCTTTTAAGATCAAAGCTTCATCATTTTGATATCAAGTAAGTTACAAATATAGAACTACAATTCTATCTCTCCTTAGCATATGCTTATGTATGTGGGAATGGGATTTGAGATGTAAATAAATAGTAGTTTGCACACAATTGGAACTGTGATTTGGGCATTATAAAGTTATAAAGAAAAAAGCACGTGAATATACAACTTGAAAATGGAAGACAATATTAACAGGAGAAATCAAATTAAATAGTTCTCTCTAGATCTCCTATGAAAACTGCAGTCATCTTGGAGAATCCTAACAGACATCCTAGATCTATACTGCACCACATGAAGGGCAATTTCACCAGGCCCTTCAGTGCATGGTTACCCCAGAGCATGACTGTCTCTTCTAAATAGTGTTTCTTTATAACTATGGTTTTGTACTGCTAGCCTAACATCTCTTTGCTTTACCATTTGCTGGATGATCCAAACTAACAGAAGGAAACCAGAAACATAACCCAGAAATGTGTGCTTTGCTCAATTACAGACAAAGATGTTAAACCATAATAATGTTCACCGCCAACAGTGAGATGTTCACATCCTAAAAAAAACCAGCTGCACATACAGGTGTCTGCACCAGATGCTTCCCTAAGCACAATATGATAAAAGTGATTATTCCTCACTCAACAGAGAACAGTCCCTAAGCAGGGTATTTAAAGAAGGATGATAATGCAGGTAATTAGGAGCCCCATGCTTTACACACAAAGCAATTTTTAAGAGGGTGAAGCTGAGAACCATCTGTCTTTACATGTGGGCCTATGTTTTTATCCATGAATTCATCATAATGATGAGCAGTTTTCAGTCTGATTTCTCAAGCAAGATTCTACTTAGAAACTGGTTAAGGATACGGGCACCAGAATGTAATACCTAGCCAATGGATATTTCTATAAGGACTTAAGGAATACCCTGGTCTTGCCTCAAAGTATGTATGTAGTGAGTTTTCCTACCTTTGGACTTTCTGTCATGGTAGCTTCTGCCTCGATAATGGTGGCCACTGTCTGTGTACAGATTCTCAAGATCTTCTTGCCAGGAGTCTGGGTTAAAGTGTTTGAGCAGATCCTCCACTGTGTCAAATGCAGCAATGGTTTGATCCAGTGCTTCTGCCGTGAGCGTAGAGTCAGTCACTGATGGAGAGGGATAGGATACCCCCTAAGAGTGACATATATCTCAGTGCACTTTGAAAAAATTACAGCACCACTTAAAACAATTGAAAACAGTTACTGGGAAACTTGTTGAGTGAAACAGCTACTCCGGGCCATCTTTTGAAGTCTTTACCTGGGCCAGGCTTTGTTATACTTGTGTTTTCTTTTTCTAAGGAGAAGAGACACCAAGGAACTCCCAAACAAGTCTCAGAGGAGATGCAGGGAGCAAAAGCACTGCCACTGGTGGGCTGTCAGCATTTACATCCAATTCTCAAAGGGGATGATGGTTTGCACATTTACAAAGATGTAATGAAAATGTCTTTTGAAACCACTGTGATGGCCATGGCCATAGAATGGAGAGGCCAACTCTGTCAATTATTTGATAAGATGCAGATCAGAAATCACAGTAGAGAAAGACAAAGACAAGTCCACTAGACTGTCTTTCCCTGGTCAACTTGGACGACAAATTTGGTTTGGTTGAAGACTTGAAAAAATGACCCTTTATTGCCCAAAATTAAATGTGTTACAATACACTGATGAATTGACATTCAAATGACATTTTTTACCAAAAAATACAACTTACTAAGCAAACAGAAAAAACACGATGTTTGGATCTTGGGCGTGCTGGTGGATGAGAGGCTGAACATGAATCCGCAACATGCATTTGCAGCCCAGAAATCCAGTTGTATCCTGGGCTGCATCAAAAGCAGCGTGGCCAGCAGGGCTGGGGGAGGGGGGGAACCTGCCCGTCTACTCCACTCTCCTGAGGCTCCACATAGAATACTGCATCCAGCTCTATAGTCCCTAGCACAGGAAGAGCATCAACCAGTTGGAAAAAGTTCAGAGAAGGGCTACCAAGATGATTAGGGGGATGGAGGAAAGGCTAAGAGAACTGGAATTGTTCAACCATTAGAAGGCATCAGGGTGACCTAATTTTGGTCTTCCGGTACCTGAAGGGACCTTACAAGAAAGATAGACAGAGATTTTTTACAAGGGCATGTAGTGATACGACAAGGGGGAATGGCTTTAAAATGAAAGAGGGGAGGTTTAGGTTAGATAATAAGAAGAAATTCTTTGCTGTGAGGGTGGTGAGACACTGGAACAGGTTGCTGAGAGAGGCTGTTCATGCCCTGTCTCTTACAGTGTTCATGGTCAAGTGCAGGAGACTGTGAGCAAGCTGAGCAGAGTGGGGTAAAACTAGATGATCTTTAAGGTTCCTCCCAACCCAAGCTATTCTATGTTTCTATGATTGCAGCAATGTAACAATGAATATTTGGATTACCAACATATTAATATCCTCACAATTGTATCAAATGAAATATTATTTCCCATCAGTAAGGGCCAAGCACCACTCTCTCAATGTTCCCACTGAACCTGTGGTACAACTTCACTTTGACAGAAAGATTGTACTAATTTCAGTTTTACAAGAAAGGACTTCAAACATTTTTAAAAATCATTATTAAGAATCACAATATCTGCTATCCTGACATCACTTTTTTCCTTGGTCCAAAAAAGTCAAATAGTATGCAAATATTATGTAAAATAAGTGCAAGAAAAACTATTAATGCAGATCTCTTAATTTTTGAAGGCCCACAATCAAAATACATTATTTTGTCCATCAAGAAGCATAGTAGAGAACAAGAGTTGCTAAAACATCGGGGGGAAAACCCTAGAAACCTCTTGTCTTATGAAAACCAGCTCAGAAGTAATGGAGCAGAAATATGCCATTTGAAATTAATGGCTTCCCAAAATATTTTTTTTTGCCTCATCTCCTAGTACAGTTAAACTATTAATCTTTGTGATTAACTTCACTCAGTTGGGTAGTAATGGGAAGGTCAACTCAATTGAGTAAATTCACTCATTTTTTTTTGCAGGATTGTGTCCTTCAATTCCTATTATAATAGTTCTAAAGTATGTATGTCTTTTAAAATAAAACAGTTGTCTCTAATGGTAAGATATATCACAAAATTAACAATCCTTAGTATTTTACTGCATTTATTTGCTGAAAGTATGGACAGTCCAAATAATTAAAAACCAGAATGAGAAGAAATAGAAAGCATAGCAATAGTGGAGTCAAGAAAGCACAGCTGCACTTTATTGCCTGCGACCAACAGCCCAAGAAGTTTCAGAGGGTCCACTTGTGACTGCAATGCCTCTTTAGTGCCAGGCTAAGTAAGACACAGTGCAGATGCCTATGAAAATTCATGTCCCCTTAAAAGGCAAGGCATACCTCAAAGCCTCTCTCCTGACTTCTAAGTGGCTTGGAATAGAGACTGCCAGAGAGATGGAAGTCCCAGGAGTTAAAACACCCACACCAGTAAAGTGATCACAGCATTGTTATCTAAAGCAGTGTTGCAGCAGAGACTATGAAGTGGCCAGCACCATGCAGTGTGCTAACACAGCCTTTAGGGCTACAAAAAGAAGAGGCACCCAAATGCTACTTTCTTACTGAGCAGAGTTCAGTGGAGCTCATGGCAGCCCAACAGGGAAAAATCAGACTCTGACTGCCTTTCAAAAGAAGGGAAATGGGGCAAGGACACTGAAGAAACAGCACATAAAAATCAGGCCACAGGTGTGTGGCTTACTCAATGCAAGAGGTTTTTTTTTTTCACATGTTCAACTGTACATCTCATTACAGAAATGCAGGTCAGTGAACGTGCAAGGCATTTCAAACTCATACAGGCAGCTGGGATTCCCCATTTTCTTTTCATATAAAATCTCCTGCTCAAGAGATTTGTGCAACCTTGTTCAAACATAGAAGAAAGCTCAATTTTTTCTCAGTGACAGCCAAATAAAGAGGAATTATTTCAACAGCTCAGATAGCCTCCTGACAGCAACACCATGTGACAGGCCCAAAAGCAACTTCAAAGCTGCCAACACAACTGCCTTTTTTTTTTTTTTTTTTTTTTTTTTTTTTTTTTTTTTTTTTTTTTTTTTTTTTTTTTTTTTTTTTTTTTTTTTTTGTTCTGCCAAGAATGAGGCACTGGCTTTAGGAAAGTTTGTGCTTGTTGTAATCTGCCTTCTGAGATCGCATCCAAAGAGGGAGCAAGAAGAAGAGTGAAATGTAAGAAGCAATGAAGAACAAAGATTTTCCACATTTTGTACCTCTTCTGCATTTCTTAAAAGCACTGAATACATTTTTAATTTAATGAAACAAAAAGGTTTTTTTTTGTTTTTGTTTTTTTTTTTTTTAAATCAGTGCTCTTGCTCCTAATTTCTATTCCCCCATTCTTCTCTCTTTCCTATCTCTATTGTGAACCTGACAGGAAGTCCAATATGCATCACAGTTTTTTGTTGGACAAAAAATTACTTCTGAAATAACGGAAACTAAACTAATAAGGAGTGATTTTGTTTCCTTTTTATTTTTTTCCCTGCGTTTGCCATGATGAGTTAAGGGCAGAAGTATTTCTTTTAGCTCTCTGAGAAAACAAAAACAAAAATAAAACCCAAACAAAACATATCTCTGTAATATGATCTCAGACATCGAATTTGCTCTCTCTGAAATTTTCATTCCGAGAGTTGCAATGTGCCTAGATCCTAAAATGAGTCCTTGGGTTGCTTGTGGATTTGAGAGAGCAATCTTAGATCTAACATTTTAATTGAGCATCAGCAAAATCGTACGTCATCAAGACTGACAGGTCTGAGTTTGTCCTTCTGCTCCTTAAGACCAGAGTAGAATCCCTGAATCTTTCTCTCCTGAAGAACTTGGGTGTTCTCAGACTTTTTCCTTGGTGCTTTTGTGAAAAATTGCTCAATCTCCCTACCTTATTTTCCCTGAGGATTAAAAGGACTTGTGGGTGTGATGCACAGCCAGTTGAAGAAAATATGTTTTATGAGATTGGGAATGGTGTGGGAAAACCAGTAAAACTGAGGTTCTGCTTCTGGTTGAGCTCTAGATTTCCATGTGACCTTGGGCATCAGCTTGCTACCTGTAACATTTGAACTGTATTTTCCTACCTGCAACACATTAACAACAATTTTTCAGAAAAAAAGATGTGAAAGATAAACTTAATTTTTTAATATAAAAAGGATACTGGATTTTGGTTTGTTATGTTGTTCATGTTATGATAAGGATGTTAACTAACATGGTGTGTACCGTATTATTAATCTCATTTTCATAGTCATCTGCTGAGGGAGCCCTAGGCTTACATTTTCAAACAGCAGCCTACCATATTTTTCAACAAAATATTCCATCACATGGATTTTTTTTTCCCCAAGCCCATAATAGAATGAAAAATGAGTTTATGTCTTTCAGTAAAATTGTTTTAGCATCTCCTACTTGGCGCATCTAGTAGATCTCAGCCCTGCTAACATAACTCCTCAAGACTTTCAGCACAATTAGTTCCAAGCAATCAATGCATTGTATCATGAAGGACAAGTTTCATTTGCAAACTCAAGGGTAAACATAAGTGAGACTGGCTTAACAGCTTCTAATTTTGGCAGTACAGAATTTTGTCTCAACTCACTGCCTGGATTGGACAGTAGAATTTACCCATATTTTCTTTACTGCTCCTTCACTGGCTACTCCTGGCAGCTTTTGTAACAAAGGTGCTATCATTAAGCTGTCTTCCATGAATGCTCCAAACATTGGTCTCAAATTTGCTTTTAGCATTTATCCCCACCTCGTGTTTTAAGAGGAGTTAACAAGAGCTTTGACATGGTGCTGCCCAGGCAGCAGAGCACACAGAAGAGGACTGCCCGTATTATGAATTTGATGCTACACTGCCATTCCCAGGCATTGGGAAAGAGAAGACAGATTTTTTTGTCAATGACACAAATCAAATGCAATGAAGAGAAAAAAAAAAATTTATACTGGATTACATGTTTTTCTTCATTTTTTTTTTCTGTTTTATTTTTCTCTGAGTTGCATTTCACTGCTGAATGTGGAGACTTCAGATATAATATTTTATTGGAAACACTTTAAAAAAAATTCTCAGTATTCACAATGAAAACCAGACCTATGTTCCTACTGTTTTAATTACAATTTTCTGTTCAGGTCAAAATATTCTACAGTTAAAAATTTTAAGTTTATACCTTGGATTTTCATATTGACAGGATGAGTTTGAAAGCAATAAACGTTTCCCCATGGCTATCTCATGTGATTACAAAAGTTGATGGCATATCCTGAATCTTTTATCTCTAAAAACATACTGATTGACTCCAGTATGAGTTGGATAAACACCTATTTCATTCTATTCCAAAAGCGAATACATGGTTTCTCCATGCAGGTGCCATTTTTGTGAGTTGGATTCAAGCCATCCTATCAAGCCATCCATGCGCAAAATAGTGAAAAATTACTTACTGAGACAGAGCTTGTGACTGACTCCCAGTTGGTTTCTGAGGCTGCATGCTGGAAATCATCCTAAGGGGACAAACCCACAGGAAAAATCACCATTAAGGCAGTATCCGAAAGTAACTACAGAACCTAGAAAATATTTCAGCATTCAACATCTGTTACTTTTTCTAGCCCTCTTTATTGCAGGAGTCCCTTGCCATGTGTCATTCCTAAATAATGCTATTTCCATTAAGGTTCCTCCCTTTTCATTGTTTATAAACTAGCTCCTTGCAAACTTGCTGGGACAAGAATAGGTGGTATAATAATAATAATAACACCACCAATAATACCACCACCAATATGATAATTGCTGCTTTGCATAGAAGGACTCAATGTGGTCCAGGACATTACATTTATCTTCCAACATTTATATTAAACACCATCTCTATATGCCTATAATCAGAGTATTAATGCAGTTGCCAGACTGATCTGTTCTGGAAAGAATGTGGACATGCCAATACCCTGGTACTACTTAGTCAAGGTAAAAAGCAGGGTAATCTAATCCATTTGAGAAGTAGTCCTAACATGACTCTATTGCTTTTGGTGCTTGAGCTGAACAGGACTTGCTCATCTGTGCAGGAACGGCGCAATGTTATTTACACCAAAAACACAGCCACAGTACATGCACAACACAAGTGTCACTGCACCAAACCTCTGGGCATTTATGATTCACTTGAGCACAGGGATGGCTTCATCTCATCTACCTTTGGACATCTATAAAGCCAACATCTAAGTGAGTTGTTCTTGTTTTCATCTACAGTAAACTAAACCTGCAATTTTCAGGGTGAAAATCATCTGATAAACTGTTTTAGAAGCTTAATTTGGAATGACATTGCATCCCAAAAATGCATTTTTTTCTCTATAAAGGGGAGCTGGGGGGACGAGCTTAGATATAGATGTCCAAACTGTAGATATTGACATGTGGTCACCTAAATCCAACCCACTTGTCTGAGCAGGGATGAGAAATCACTACTAAAATAATGAAGAAGCCATTTCCTTGATGTTTTGGCAGTTTTACACATTTCCAACTGGAATAACTAAACCATGAAAAATGAGAAAAAAAGGCAGCATTACAGAATGGTTATTAAACACACACATGCAGTGAATAGCTAATGATCAACATGATTATACAGGTAAGGAAAGTGGACTGAAGAGACAGCATACCAAGATTTTAATTTCTAATAATTGAATTTATAACGAAAGGATTTAAAGAAGATGGACCAATGCCTGGGCTCACAATTTTGTCCTAACCAGGTATCTGTTAAGCTTTTTTTTAAGCTGGCAACTAAAGGGGAAAAAAAAGGTAGCTGTTCAGCTAATGTTCAGTAGACTTGATCCTGCATTGGACCATACATATATGCATATATTAAATTATTTCTTAGGAATGGAAAACAGAAAATTGATCTCATAATCTGCTAATTCATCAATAAAATTTTCCTCTACTCAAGAAGAAAATGCTTTCAGACCCAGAATCAATACACAGCTTTTAATGTTTTTCGTTTGCTATTAAAAAAAAAATATTCAAATGTCTCAAAAGTCACAAGACTGTGTACTCAATATTGCTAGTGTTTCTATTTAAAATGTTCCTTTCTCTCAAATCTGAAACAGCAAAACTATAGTGATTTCTTTGGCACTTAAGATCAGTAGAAATTAAGAAACCCCATCACTAATTGACCTCTGAAACTGCAGGGCTATTAAAAGACTAATAATAAGTGGTCATTTTCTTCTGAGAATACAGAAGCAAAATATTTTTGGTACATTATTTCAAAGCAGATTTTTTTTTTCTTAAAAACAATAAAGAGATCTGCAAATGCTATTATCAGGTCATAAATAATTCTGAATGTGACTACCTTGGCCACATTCTCTATACATTTCGTTGCCCACTTATTGACAAGCCATAACTTAAATTAAATAAGAGTGGATTTGAAAAGCTCATGAATCCTCTGGTAATGGCTGCTAGTTGCAAAATTTGGAAGTCATTTCCTCTCAGTCATTAGCTTCCATTTAGCACTTCCAGAAAAAAAAAAATAAAGTGGCACTGAGTTCTGAGGCATTATTTTAAAACAGGAGCAATTTGTCTCATTGAATGTTTGGAGAAGACTGTAGACAACAAGTAATTTTGTGTTCAAAGTGATGGTCCCATTATGTTATCTAACTGTAGATATCAAAAATGTTTCTTTAGTCTGATTCTTTGAGTTGTTTGATGCCAGGAAACCCCTCCAAAATCCTGAGATAGACATGTGTACCACCTGCTTCTTGGATCTCAAACCTTATGACTGCACATTTTGACTCTGTGATTATATTCGATCTGCATAAACTATTCACAACCCTATGGCTTTTTTCCACCATCACTCAAGGCAGCTGCAGACATTCTTGGCTTCTTGGAGCTTTCAACCTCTACAGTTTGAAGATTATTATTATCTATAGCTTCTGCTTGCAGCTATTTCAAGTAATGATATTAAAGTAGTTCTCATCATTACAAAATTCTCTACTCTTTTCTCACCATTGTCCATAGCAGAACCTGAAGGATAAATCTATTTTCAATGCTATCTATTCAATCTATACTACCTTGTTTATGAAAATTTGCCTATGATCACTTTGGCTGCTGTTTTCTTCATTACTTAAAATAATACTAAAATTTTTAGTTAAAACATTAAAAAAACAAAAACACCCAAACCCAAAAAACATAATCCTCACATCATTTCTAACTGAATGTTGGAAAAACAGGGTGGTAATAATTTGGCTATATCACCCTAACAACAGTACTTCTATTCTTGTGTGTGTTATGGTAACATAACAGTGCTACGTGAGACTTCAACAAAGCATTGCATTAACTACTCTATTCTACAAGCAGCAAAATTACAGGCAAAACAACAGGACTACCTATCACCTTCTGATGGTGGCTACTTTTACTGAAGAAAAACGATTTATAAACCTCAACTTCCAAAATTACACTTCAGCAAGACAAATACTGAGTCAGTCCTTAGAGTTAAATATGTATGGACATTGATATATTGTTCTTGGCTCTGCTGCAGACAAAGAAAAGCTACTCTCTCCTTCTCAGACTGACTTTGTCTTTAGCCTGTCTCCCACCACTGATCACCAATAAGTGACAAGGAATCACATGGAATACTCTGTGTTTCACCTAGACCTTTCACAAGTGGAGATCATGAAGCAAAATCTTGCTGAGGAAGATGATTTGCAGCCTGGAGGTCCATGACCTGCAGCAGCACAAACTCTGCTGGGTTGAAGCCACGGGGCTCGGCGGGAGCTGTAAGAACTAGAAGTCATCAGGAAAACACCAGGGATGAGGATGGGAAGCTTGCCAGTTTGAGAAGCATGTTGTCCATTTGCTGTACCACCCGTTTGGCAAAACATGAGTCCTTCCAGCCGTGCTGAATTACTGCCTCATCCTCAAATTAAAAGCACGAAATACTTTCTCACACTTCTGTGATTCTTCATTTTTCACAGAGTTTATCACTATAGACCAGTCTTTTGCCATCTTGGTGTGTGACGTCTGTGTGGTAGAATGCAGAGGATAGTCAATAACTGCCACAGAATGGGCACAGCACACTGGCAACTCTCTCCAGTGGAAAGAAGCAGCCCCATACTTCTATAAACTTTTTTTCTAAATTCCTTCTCTTAATCTGCAGGTCTGTGGGGTGATTGGACTAAGTTTGGTAAAAGACTGTTTATCTGACAAAACAACTATAAACTACGGCTAATGAAAGCTGAGGTGATACTCTCCAAGAAGTGGGAAAGGTTCTGAAAGAGTTGTGACTAAGCATCCCTGATCCTAAGAAAGCATCCCTGACTGATGCTTGGGGCCTACTGGTTCAAGAAGGTCCTCTCCTGAAGGAATAGCCTTCTCTACTGTGACCTTCTACTCAGACGACAAGTGAGGGGGGAAGAGCAAAAAAGAAGGCATGTTCTTGGGGCAAGTAAACATGAGAAAGAGGAAGAATGAAGTAAACTAAGGAAAAATTAAGACAGAGAAGCTGAAGAGTTGGGCTCTGTCTGTGGTCACCCCATTTGTGGTATTTAGATATCATAAACTATCTACAAGAGAAGCAGCTTCTAGAAATTTGCAGAAGAACAGAGTTAACGGATGAACTGAGACACACAGCAGGTCCTCAAAAGTCAAATCAGGGGTGAAGTGCAGCACATTCAAAATGGTCCAGTACAGAAACAAAAGCTGTGAACTCTCAATGGAATATAAGAATTAGAGACTAAGGAAAATGGAAGGTCTGTAAAGAAAAACTAGGGTAAATTACAACTTGAAGAAAAAAGAAGATAAATTATCCTACTGTTTAGATTAATAAAAGGAAACTTAATCATAGCTATTTTTGAAAAATGGTCAACAGGCATCTATTACATTCAGAGCTATTTGCAAACAGGTAGCTGGTAAACTTGTATTTGTCAGTAATAATAACAAATCATAATAATCTGGAAATATTTCTTTTTTTCTTCCTGCAACAATAGTACCAATATTTTCTCTAAGAATTGAGCTTATAGGTATTACATTTTATATAAAAAACTACAGATATTTCAAGAAAATAAGCCCCAAACTCAGAACCTGGTTTGTAATAGATATGGTGTTAGGTAAGTTAGAAGCAAAATAAAAGTCATAGTTGCATTCAAAAAAGTGCTGTGACACATACTCAAATTTATACGCTTCAACATATTAATTATAATTTCTCATGTAGCATTTTAGTACACTCCAATTTCTATTCTTAAATATAAATAAAAATCATATAGATGTACACTTTGAAATATCTTTTTCTTTTACCACACTTTCATTTCATCACATTGCCAGGCTTTAACTTAATATCGGAATGGTATTTACCAGCACTTCTCTTAAGGATATGCTAAGACATCTACAGCGGGCTACTCACTAGGGCAGCAGACAATGCGTTTTTCTTACAGTAATGGTCAAACCACTGCTCTGTTGAGCTCTCATGACCAGACAATAAAATAAAAGGTACTGAATTTGGAAAGCATGCAACAGTGATGGTTTGTATTCTGGG